CGTTGCCGTGTGGAGCAGCTGAAAAGCGAAAGGGACTGCACTGGGTTTGCTCGAGTGACGTCACGACATTGAGTCATTCGCTTTTATTGAAAAACATCAAACAGCGCAATGAAATCACACAGTCAACTTAAATGTTTTTGGGGTAGTTTGATTAATGTTTAATTGTAGATGCGGATTGACGTTTTTTTTGCCGGCGTCAAGTGCGACTACTAATGTGCATTGGGGCATGCGAGCAGCCTCATGTATTATTGACCCGTGCAGGAACTCATGCTCACATCTCTGTCCACCGTTCCTTTATGCTTCGAGATTGCTACTTGGCATTGCTGCAGTAAAAGCAACTTTTAGTCAACAAAATGCAGAGAACAAGTGGCCATACATTAGAACAGATTGAGAGGCATGATGCTGAGGCTGAACAACATTGACTGTGTGGTAATCTTCGGACATGCTCAGTCCTGCAACATACCCGTGAGCGCAAACACTGAAGACATTTGCAGACAAGTTGCGCTCTCGCGGCAATTGTGCAATTTCGGTTGTAGACACTCAGTGCTGTATATTTGGAGAATACTGTGACTCACATACCTGGCTCGCCAACTTGTGAGAACACGAGTTCGATCTGTGCGAATGATCAGACACGGACAGACATGTACAGTCGAGAAAAGTAGACGCCAACAATGATAAATACGCGCTCAAGAGACTTCAATTGTTACATTGGCATAATGTTCCATCCATCCATCCATGGATTTTACGATGCGCTTTATCCTCACAAGGGTCGCGGGGTGTGCCGTAGCCTATCCCAGGTGTCTTCGGGCAGGAGGTGGGGGACATCCTGAACCGGTTGCCAGCCAATCGTAGGGCACACAGAGACGAACAACGATCACACACACACCTTGGGACAATTTGGAGTGTTCAATCAGCCTGCCATGCATGTTTTTGGAATGTGGGAGGAAACCGGAGTACCCGGAGAAAACCCACGCAGGCCCGCGGAGAACATACAAACGTCACACAGGAATACTGAAGAAGAACCTCGGAACTGTTGGACCACTCCCCAACGGTGCTACTTTACATTGAATGTGCTGTATGAAGAAAAAAAAAAAAGGCCCCAACTTCCATTTCCCACATTAACCCTTTCAGGGACGGCGGTTACTACAGTGGACTGTTTATCAGGTTACAGGTTATCATTATTGGCGCATGATAGGGTTAAAGAAAAAGTAAGTAAGGGCTCAGGGTACGAGTTGTGTGCTCTGGCCAGCCATTGCCTCACTCCAACAAAGAGTGATGCTCATGCAGTGCAGGGAAGGCTGAGTTTGTTTTCATAGCAGCACTAGTTGGGGGACAGACTATTGATGACAATTACGTAACTGTAACCCAGCTGTTCAATAAACCACAGACTCTCACGTAAAATTTCCAACTGCAGTCGATCAGTTTTATTCCCATCATTAAGGGCACAAACATACTATTCATTGATCATCGGGTCAGTTGACCCCTAGGGTAGACTGTACGGTATTATCCCTCATATTGGCTCTTAAGTGGACATGGGCATGTTACCAAAAAAAAAAAAAAGCAGTACATTTAAGGCGACCACCCGAGTGGCGGGTAAAGATAGTGAAAACGTGCAGCTGCTGATTCATGGTGTCACGCCGAGGGTGCTCAGCTGGCCTGAAGTGCGCACATCCAAATAAGAATGGCTCCGCTTAGAGCTCAGTGTCCAACAAGTCAACAAAGAAGCTGTAGCCAATGTGAGCCAGGGTAACAAACTTACAAATTGGTGTCAGGACTATTCAGCTCAAAACTGCACTGTATTCCAAAAACAAGGACCCACGGAGAAGTGTCATCCGTTTGAAAATGGAAGTGAAATCTTTCAAAGGATGCATCAATTGTGGGAATAAGAAGCCACAGTCCTCCGATGCCCTTCACATAGTTCCTCTATTCGCGTGGCATTTACATGTTTCACAGAGGACTTAATAACGAGCTGTGCGGACAGCGGTCGCGTGTGAGCTCGCATTCTTGTCCCACTGCGAAAGCTCGGCAAACACAGCCATACATTCACTTCTACATACTTCCACACATCATGTTTATCAACAATGGAGCAGCTGGATCACTGCGGGATAGCCACACAATGGAAAGTACTGGAATAGCCGATGGAAGCAAGCAAGTTGATTTCACAGCGATGAGCTCTCCCCTTAATATCAAAGGCAACCTATCGACCTCAATTAGAGTTGTTAAGTTGCGCCAACTGAAGTCAGTGGGACATCATTGAGGTTACAACAGCAATGCAAACGAATCTGTGGCTTCATCGGTTCAACTTTTTCTTTTCTCAATTACAGCCTTTGAGCTTTGAAACTTGCATTCTGCTACATCGCAATGTAGATTTGAATTTGATTAATTGTTCAGCACTATGCGCCACAGTGACAATGAATAAATAATGTCAAGGTGTGGTTGGACGTCTGGGATACTGAATCAGGATTCCTATGACAAGATGGTGTCCGTTTCGGTTACCTAGCAACTCCTTCCGAGAATGCCCGGCGTACCGAACACACTTGGACGTAACAAAAGGGTCAACTCCTTTTTCCCCTCCTGGAAAAGTGATACTGCAGACAGCAATGGTGGGTACCCGTCCCACAAATGTTCCAAAAGTCACCGTTAATGAATACTTGGATGCACCCCACTGACGTTTTTGCTTTCCGTTGTGGAGAGCCATCATGTCATGTCAGGTCATCCCCATAGAAACCAATTGGCTCAACCACATCAAAATATTAGGAGAGGAAGCTGTTAATTTTCATGAGGAAACCACACAATAGGACACATGGAAGTCCGATTCCACTTCTTGTAGCACAACTGCTATGTTGATGTACAAGTCAGCGCTCAAGTTCATGTCCTGTACATGTACTGGAACTGGGCGATAAGACTGAAAAGTATTTCAGGGGAAATTTCACATTGGTTGATGTCAATATATATTGATTTTTTTTCCAACTTTGAAAATAATGAGGCGGAGAAAAAAAGATGGGAATTTTGTAATTTTACATGTACATATTTATATATAATTCTCAATCTTTAATTAAGAAATCAATGCAACTATGAAAAAGCCAAATAAACTGGTCAATATAAATTGTGCAGTTTCTCCTCCACCATCCATTAGTTAAAATTAAATAACTCTATTCCTAAACATGATAATCAGTGAAGAGAAATTATACCGCGAGTCAGTCTGTGTATAATTCACACCAAAATAGTATATAGGGACACAGAGGTAACCACAATTTAATTTTCAAAGGTAAATCCAATACATTTGAAGACATTTTATGTTACGTTGCAGTCCCGTATTTTGTTATTTTATGTTTAACTGTTCTGTAAAGCGCTTTGTTACAGCTGCAGCTGTTGTGAAAGCGTTACATAAAGAAAGATTGCATCGTATTAAGTCTCCTTAAAAGCCATTTTTAAAGGCCCGATTGTGTTTCCATTCATTCATAATCTCAATATTACAACAAACCCTCATTCATACACATCAATTCATGCTCTCACCCACTCCACCCAATTACAATAATGTGACTCGGCTGCTTTGAGATCAGATGCTTGCACTGCATTTTCCTTCTTGGCTTTGTGACATCTTTCAAAGAAACATAACGATCAAAGCAAGTGAGGATGGACATAGAGGAAGAAGTTGAGGTGTTCCCTTACCACCAGCACGGAGGTCCTGACCACCTCGGACACACTTTGCCGGAGCTCGGCAGCCGTCCCGGGCTTCCCCAGTCCCCGGGTAAACTTCCTGGTCTCCGGTTGAGCTAAAGTAGACATCGCTGGACTTCGCAAAAAAGAAAATAAAAAATAAAAATCCTTAAGTGACACCGAGGCAAGTGTGGCGGGAATTAACCGTCTGCTAATCCGCCTCTGCCATCCCCTTCAGCGGGCACCACGAGTTCCAAACCGGATCATGTTGTGACGCAATCATTCCCATTTTTCAGTCCGGGACGTTTTTTGTCGCCTTAGCGCTGAGGTGTCCAGTTTGTCCGTTTGAATCATTGTTGGCATAAAAAGCGTGGTGGTTTCAAGGGTGTCATTGGCCGTCGAGTTCCAAACAGGAGGCGTCAAATCTCGTCGTAGTTTCGGTGCGCTCCGCCCACTTTTTGGCGTACCGTTCACAGCCTGCCCACTGCTCGCAACAAAAATTAGAACATCAACATTTAAAAACTCAAATTCATCCAACGTAGTAAATTTGAGCATGCTCAGTCGAGTCGGGAAAATAGAAAATAAACATTTTTCGAAATTAAATAAATTATTTATATGAGGAGCAATTGAAGTTTTTATTTACACGTTCATACTATATCACTCAATATTAGAGCAATCTAGGATACCGTGCAACTATTGCCCGTATGGCTTGTGAGCGGCAATCTGATTTGATGGTCGGCAAATGCCATCGATCCACTCATTTTCCGAACCGCTGATCTCCACTAGAAGACGACACTGTATCGTTTGGGCTGACTGCTGTCATAATGTCTTGATTAATACTGACGCCTACAGGTCGTAATTGGAAGCACCTAGAAGCAGCTGACTCAACTCTTGGCCAAGATGAAAAGTGGAATCAGAATATCTATCTATCCATTTATATATGAATGTATAATTGCTTTTCTTTAGGAGAGATTTTCCCCTGCTGGATTCGGCCCAAAGCCGAATTGAGCTTTTGCTTTTCATGTTTGAACAGAACCTCCATAAAACTGATTTCCAGTCATTTGAACACAAAGAAAGAGCTGATGTCTGCAGGTGGGAGGCCATCTGGTTAAAAGAGAAACAGACGCAATTGGAATTTTTAGGTTTCTCTTTTGCTCAGTATATTTAAAGCTTTCTGTTACATAACTTTGTCATTCTGGTACAGTTAAATTATTGATTAAAAATGAAACCAAAACTGACTTGCAGTATGAGGAAATGGAACAATTGTCTTAAAATCTGTTTCTTTTGCTTTTGATGAAGCACACTTCAGGTTGTCATAATGTTTAAATGAAAACAAAACCTTTTACAGTGTGATCATACAGTTTTATTAAGAAACAAGCCAGGCCAGTAGCACAACATTCAGTTTTAAAGGGTGGCCTGTTTTACACACGGACTTGAATTTTGGAGCGTACCGTAAAGGTAACATTCTTCTAAAGTAAAACAAAAAGAAAAAAAAAATTAAACAAGGAGTGTGACATAATTGTTTGGCACCACAAGCGAAGTTTCCTGCAAAGTGAACGACAAAAAAGGCCATTGAAGAGAGTATACAGACATTTTTCTACTGTAAAAACAAAATGGGGGAGGAAAAAAACAAACAATCAAATCGAGGCATAGAAGTGGGTGTGATTATTACAAAACGGTATAAAATGACATCCTTTCAAAAAGGTTTCGGAGTTGAGCTATAAAAATGCCAGGAGAAGAAACGCAGTCTCTGATGCAGTCGAAACCAGCGGACGTGCCACCATTTTAGAACAGTAAAAAAGCACCAGCATGTGCGCGGGCACATGGACGGATGTCCCACGTGTGTGAAAATTGAACGGAGTCCAACTCAATGCGCGTGGTGATCCTTGTTGTTCTGCACCCGAGAGCGACACGAGGGGGCTGTTGCGCTGCGGATCACCTCCATCCACCTGCGGCCAACAAAAACAACCTCAACATGAGCCATCTGATACATACAGCTACACGTAAATTACATCGTAGGTTAACCTTTCGAAGGTGTATTCGCTCTCCGACCGGAAGTAGTAGATGTGGGACTTGAAATGGAGTTTAAAGACATAGTCCTTGTGGATGTTCTCTGACTCGGAGGGAATGGTGACAGAGTAACCCAGGAGGGGAAGGCTGGCCAGTGGATAATCATCCTGAAAGGAGGAGAAACATTCCATTGAAGTAGAAATAGAATTTTTTTTTTTTTTTTGCTTTGTGCTTTTCCTCGATAATCACAAAGACAAAATACTGTATCTTAAACGCTGGAAGGAATGAGAATAAAAAAGGAAAGGGATATCATAAGGAAAATAGAGGGAGCTACAAAGTGGTAACAGTTCAGTTGTATTTCACTTTAAGGACTATACATTTGCATTTCATCATTAAAAATGGTTTGCTTTGATACACCTAAACATATTTTTTAATTTAACATATGTGAAATACATATTAATAGAATCATTTAAGTACACTTTCTCTATTTTTGGAGTTTTAGCAATGTGGATGCTCAAATTGTTCTGACTGTTTCAATGGCTTTTTAAATTTGTCATTTTAAGTAAAGAAAAATCTTCTTTTGAATGTAATGTACTGCACAAAGGGCATATTTGAAGGACAGTTTTACCTGTGTAAAACAATCTAGGTGGAATTTAGCCTTGCTTTTCAATAAATCAATTACAAAAAAAGTCAGAGTATATAAAATGATTCAGAAACAGAAAGTCGTTTTTAGGTGGCTAACTGGAACTACAACAAGCCAACCTCATTTTTTTTTTTTTCCCCTCAGGAGGTGCCACTGAACCACAAAGGTAAAGAATCCGCCATCCTTATCAGGAAAAACAGGATTTGCGTTTTTGGTTGAAGCCTTTGATACTTACGTGGTGTGGTTTTGAAAATGACCAACAAGTTCAACTGCTTATTTGTGTCGTCCTACTAGTTTGCTAACGTCAACTAGAAAAGTCTGATGGAAAATGTTTTGGCTCACGCGTTGACAGCAACTGAGGTCAACAATCTACAAAGCTTTAGACTTTCAGGAGGAGGAGGATCAAACCGTTGGCTGAGAAATGAAAAGAGGAGTGCCGGGAGTGGATGGAGGGAGTGAGGTCATCACCTGGTGGGACTTGTAGAAAAACAGGCTGAAGTTGGTGAAGACCACCCACAGCTTCTGCCAGCCGTTGCTGTTCTTGAACTTCCGCAATAGGTTGCCTGAGAGCTGGTTCTAGGAAACATCACAAATGGAATTAGGGATGAGGAAATCTGCTTTGATTCCCATATTTTATTGTTAACTTGCTTAGACTAACAGGTCAGTCCATTCTATGATAATGCATCATTATTTGACTTTTTGAATACTGGTGTGATCAAACTTGAGACTAACTGAAGATAAAGCAGCAGTTTCATTTGATTTCTTCATTTTTTTTTAAAACATTACATTTGTGTGGATGTCTCTCCCTTCCACCGAAATACTGCTGTAGATGGAACTTAACGGTCACTTCATTAGGGACACCTGCACAAGCCAATGAGATCCAAAGCATGAGCTGATTTAAAAACAAAACAACAACAAAAAAAAAAACTTTACAAAGTCAAGGATGCCCAATTTTTTTGTGTGCGTAAAATTTACTCTGGATATTTTACTCACAAATTTTATTCTCTTTAGACTGGAACCAAACATAGTCTTTTTAGAGTAAAAAGTACTCCACAAAATTTACTGTGTATAAATTGCAAAATCTGAGAAGCTGATTTTAGCCGTTGTGATCTTTGATTTTGGGGGTGAAATTTCAGCACAAACCGAAAATGTATTCACCCTAAAAGTTCACTTTATTTGACTGAAAGATTGAATATCAAGACAAGTTCACAAAAGATCAAATTAAGTCTACCCGTAATGGTTCCAATGTATTTTGTTCACTGCAGTAATTTCACCCGGAAGCCAAAATTAGGGCTCAATAAAGGTCGCGCAAATATTGCTTTGGGTTGTGCAGGTGTGCCTCATGCTCTTCCCAATGAACCCAAAGTGACCTGTGCTCTCTGCCTGGCTCTTTTACCTCTAGACTCCTGCGGGCTTCACTAAAGGAGAGGCTCTGTACTCTGTACCAGCAGATAACACACAGAGGCACGGCTCCCTGGCCACTGCGCGGCCCCACCTTATTCTCACTGACTGGACTAGGGCCCTCTAGTGTGGCGGGGGGGACGCACAGATGGAATGGGGGGAGGGAGGGGGTGGGGGAGGAAGAGAAACGACAGACAGGGAGGGAGGTAGGACAGAAACACAAAGACCGAGTAGGTGAAGCATAGGCATGCAGGTGCAAGGGTGAATAGCAAAAAGGCCGGCGACACCCAGGCAAGGCTGTGAAGAGGATGTTCGTCACGGGTTGAGGGGGGTGCAGGGGGGGGGGGGTCACAGAGGAAGAGCTCAACCAGGGATGCGGCAAAGGATTGCCACTCCCAAAACATCTTTTTATCGACCAAGAGAGTTTGCGACGAGTGGGGGAGTGAGGCTGGAGAGAAAGGGAAAATTAAGGGCAGCCATCTGTGAACATCGACGGGGATTTCACGCAGCGTGGAGTGAACAATATCCTCACGGTTTCCTGTTGAAAGAGAAACGCTCTCAACAATTGTTGCCCATCACAATCTCGACAAAGACATAATCAGACAAGGAGTTGTATGCGGCAACTTTTGGTGTTTAAAACAGGGTGGGCAAACTAAACTGGGTGGCTTGCTTCCATTTTTGAATCGAAGAATTGACATGTTGAATCTTCAGAAATATTTATTGCAAGAATGTAGCTGTTTTAACCCCTGAAACTAGTTTATTAAAATGTGTCTTGTATGTGGTTGAAAGAGAAACGCTCTCAACAATTGTTGCCCATCGCAATCTCGACAAAGACATAATTAGACGAGGGGTTGTAAGAGGCAACTTTTAGTGTTTAAAACTGGGTGGGCAAAGTATGGCCTGCTTCCATTCTTGAATCATGATTGAAACTTCAGAAATATTTATTGCAAGAATGTAACTGTTTTAACCCCTGAAACTAGTTTATTAAAATGCGTCTTGTATGTGTTTCTCGTTAAAGAACTTCATTCTCACTCCCCCCACCCCCCCAAAATAGCCATGATAGAAACATTCAACATCCGCGACCCTGTTCAGGATGAAGTGGTGTTGAAAATGATAATAAATATAATAATAATAAATATTTTTGGGGGTGGCACTAGTGCAATTAATATTACTTATACTGTAGGAGCAAGTAAACTGACTTCCTGTCAAAAAAATCTTTTTGTTTTGTTCCTACCCAGCAATAACACGAACGTTATAGACTAAATATTTTTGGGGGTGGCACTAGTGCAATTAATATATGACTTATGCTGTAGGAGTAAAGTAAACTGAAACGAAATCAGTTTTTTTTTGTTCCTACCCAGCAATAACACGAACGTTATAGACTGACTGGCGCGTGAGGATACCGATCGCCCTGGATAATCCCTGCGTGAATCCACAGATCTCAATCAAACATGGAGAAACAGAGAACGGTAAGCGAGGCGGAAGCGAGAGAGGTCGTGGTGGAGTTAGCTCGGAGCTCGACGTTTGTTCCGGTACCTCCACAGCTATGCTAAAATCCACCATGGCCACGCTGGTGTTCCTGTGCCAGCACACGTGCACCATAGTGTTACCGCGGTGAGAGGCGGCCCTCTCCGGGGAGGTGTGCGACGTCAGCGTATCTTCTTCGGACTCCCCTTCTGCTGACAACTCCTCTGGGCATTCTGGGAAGGTCGGGAGGATGTTACTGCGAGACATTTGTAGCTGCGCGAGGGGAACGGCTTGGAGAGAAGAAAGCGATAGAGTAGACAATGTTTGAAATTTCTTCACGAAAAGGAGCACAAATACAGCGATGTCATGAGTTAGTGTTCACACGTGCAACATTCAGAGAATGGCACTGTTCTCCATGTGTACCTTTTTCGAAAATGAAATCGTTTGAGTTGACGTAAATTGAAACAACCATCTGGAAACCTTGACAACCTCAAATTACACCATACAAATTCCAAGTGAGAACGAGGGGGCAACTTGTCCCACCTGCCTTGTAATGTAGACAAAAAAAAAATACATACAAGCTGTGGCAGCGCATGATTAAAAACAAAAAAGGCTTCCTCCAAATCAACCTCTTTTGAACTGATGATTTTGACTGATATTTTCCAATATATGTTTTTTTTTTTTTTAACATGACGTAGGCTTACTTTGCTCCTGAAACTTGCCATCATTTTAGCCTTCATTAGTGCATCACAATCAGACCTCATATGTTGCGTAACAGTCAATTTTACAATTAGTAGTTTCAGTGGTGCTCAGTTTGCCCTCCGGTGGACAAAATTAGTAACTACATTTATTTGATTAAAAAATTGGCGGTAGAAAACTGATTTAATGCTTCTCACGGCAAAATGAAGTGCACTACTTGGCTGCAACCAGCAAAGGCGCTGTTGAATCAGTCTAAAATGATTCATGTCGTGGCTTGAAGAGCAACATGAGGCTTGAGGAAGTTGAGATACATCAGAGAGAGTCTCCCATTCCATTTAAATCAATATTCAAAGAGGACTGATTATTCAGTATTTCTCTCACATTGCACATCCGTTGGTCCACAGGAAAAAAAAAGAGGAAAATCCTTGTCAATGTTAGTGGTGCGTGTTAACTTACTGCTGTCAGTTAGCTTACAGCTCATCAGATCAGAAGAAGGCCCATTGTTGAATTTTGCCATTTCTACCGCCATCTCAATGTCCTCCATCCACTTTTCCATCTCGGACAGAGAACTGCAAGGAGGAATACACAAAATAGAATCAAACCACTGGTGGAATGCGTACGTGCTGCCGACCACTTCTGATCTCACCTGGCTGCGACCACCACAGACTGCCGCTGGCTGACCAAAGTGAAGGCGTGAGGAACACCCCACTCATCTTCACTCTCTCTGATCTGGAAGGAGACACACAGGCAGAGGATGGGTGGCAGTAAGTAGGACAGCGGGGACCAAAATAGACGGGAAAAGGAGAGATTGCGCGAGGGAGGATTAAACATGATGCGGTTGTCCTAAAAGCCCGAGTGTGTTTGCTTTCAATGTGTGTTTTTTGTCTGTCTAACAGAGCTGCTGTTTGTGACGTTTGATGCTGCTTATTTCCACTCAGCTGGTGAAGAGTTTTCGGCTGCTCGTAACAGACGTCTTGAAATTAAAAAAAACAAAATTCTTAAGGTCTCATCCATCACATGGAGTTCATGTAAAAAAAACAAAAAAACGTACACATGGGTATACAAAAGACATTAGTGCAAAGTTGGAAAAGTAGAAAAACAATCAGCGTTATATATATATATATATATATTTTTTTTTTTAATAATAATTTTTTTTTTTTTTGCTTTCGTTCGAAACTCAAATTAAGCTAGTAACTCGGATCCAATTAGGAAAAAAAATGAGGCGTTACCAAGAAAAACATTCGTTGCTGTAGACCTTTTCCAGACAACTTGCTAAGGCAGCCAAACCTGATGAACTCCTATAGAAGAAGAAAAAAAAAATCGAAACCAATTTAATCAGGAACAAAACAAAACAAAATTACTGTCAATGAATTCCGACTTACCCGACCCGGAACAACAAGATTGTCCACACCAATCAGATCCTTCTTCAGCTCCAACAGCTTCTGGAAGTTCTCCATTTTCACAATGCTGCCCTGGAGCTGCTCCACCACTTCGGACACGTCCGCCAGGGCAGCTGCATACCAACCAGGGGGCGCGACAGTCATTAAAATTGATCTTTTAACATGACTGACATAAAGAGTATATCCACAACGGAGGAATTTCTGTCCCAAAAAAATACCAAAAAACATCCACACTTTATTTAACTTTATTTAACTGTCCTTAAGTTTGATTAGAAACACTCTGCAAAGAGTTAACAAATCATTGGATAATTTAGGGACCAAATATCTGAGACACTTTTAAATGATTTTAAACGAGTCGGGTGCTTAGTGCTATTGGCTCAAATTTTTAATAGAGCTCATAATCCAAACTAAAAAATATTTCATTCATAGTCATAGCTAACATCCTAAAATAAAGTTTATCATTGCGGTTAAATGGAATAAATAGCTTTATATTCTGTGTAGCTGCCGAATTTTTATTTATTTTTTTGTTACAGATGTGTTACCTCTGCAGTCCCTGAAGTCCACATGAGTCGCCGGGTAATGTTTGCACAGACGCTCCAGGATGTGCTTGTAATGTATGAGGCGGTGCAGAGGGCGCAGGATGAAGACGTTGAGCGGCACGTAGCACACCTTCTGCAGCTCAAAGTCCCGGCAGAGGCCTTCTAACCTGCGTGACGCCCTGCACGCCTTCTCCAGCTCCGTCAGGATGTCACCCTGTTTATGCAGGTTGACCGTCAGGGGCTGTGGATGGAGCTGAGTGTTAATGAGGCGCGAGTACATTCATATGGAGAGGATACAGTCGAATTAATCAAACCTTTAAGCCTTGTAAGTTCTTCAGCAAGACATCTCCAATGCGCTGGTAGTCTCCTTTAATGTGAGCATTGGAACGCCCTTCCCTAGAAGAGATAAACATTGGCACCTTTATTTCGTCAGTCACAGGAGTGCGTTGATGGTTAATTTAAGAAAAAAAAGTCTAGAGAAATCTTTGAAGCTGGATGTTAAGAAGAGACGAGTTAGCCACAAGGTGTCGCTTTTGAGTACAGGCTTGAAAAGACCGTACAGGAGGTAAATCGGCCATCCATCCATTTTCCCATCCCCTGATCGCACAAGGGTCGCGCTGGCGTCACTGAAGACTAAATTGTCCATGGGTGTGAGCGTGAATGATTTTTTTTGTTTTGTTTTGTTTTGTTTATATGGTCCCTACAATTGACTGGCCACCAATCCAGGGTATACGTCACTTCTTGTCCACTTTTGCGGGACACCAGTTCACCTGCAACCTTGATACGGACCAGCGTTATCGAAACAGATGGAGGCATGAAACTATTAATCAGTTAAGTAATCAATCACGACAAATTAATTCTGTTCTTCTAACTTTATGGGGAAAGAGATCGTGAAACAGTGACGTTTAAGTCATTTGACTTTCATGTTCATGTTGAATTAATGTCTCGGTGGCCAGTAACCTTTGTCCATCTAAAGTCGCACAGGTTACTTGTGTGTGCGTCACATCCTGTCAGCAGATTAATTTAAGATTCCATCTGGAGCTTAGATTTACAGAAGAATAAGATGAAATGAGATTAAAAAAAAAAGATGACAGATCTGACAGCCATGCTGTCTTAGCACATGGCCATGAGTCAGTATCGTGTATTTTGGGGAAAGCACAACATCATTAAAAGAAATCAGAGAGCCGAAACCCAACGGCGAGAAATTGTCTGCTTCGTGCGGCATGACTGTTGCCATGGCGATAACGGCTCCTGCTGTCATGAAAGCAACGATTAAACTCAACCCAAACCCCCCCAAAAAAATGTTGCATGTGTTTTTTTTTTGTTTTTAATGTCAGGGTGTGAAATGAGTCTTACCACAAAGCAAGCCTCTGCTCCAACTCCCTGAGAAAACCCGAGTGAAACCTGTGCAGCGGCTCAAGCGTGGAGAAAACGGCTTTCTTGAGGGAATCCGGAGTGTCCTCTTCCTGTCCCACGACGTTCTGGAACGACTGATGACACACCGACAAAAAAAAAGAAAACTGAAGACATTTTTTCTCTTATAATTCGAAATGGAAACAATGTCAGGATTCAGAACAGGAAAAAAAAATGAGAGCGAAAGATGTTAAAACGTAAATTATTAATACCCAGTCATATTTTGAATGAAGTTGATGAATTATTTGTCGAACCCTAGAGCTGGAAATTAAAGTGTCACCGCAAGACGTGCTGGAGATCTGAATGAAAAACATTGCCCAATGTCATGTGAAAAATTATTCACATCCTGCACAATTTTGAGGAACCACCAAATACTGCACCCTTCTCACGGATCCTGATGAAGCCTAATCTAGAACATTCTCATCAAATGACACATTTCGAACATTGCGTGTGCTTGTATTGAGAAACGGCATGAATAATTTTGGATTCAACTTCATGCGTCTGACTCTTTTGCCACTTTCTTAGATCCTTTTGAGCCAAAATACGCACAGATAAAAATTCCATTCAACATTGGATGATAGGATCTTTCATCGGGTTCTTTTTAAACAAATATTCACAAGCACGGTGGGTCGAGTTTGTGGTTTGAACATCGGTCTCACGGTTCTGAATGTTTGTAGGGATTAATGTGAGTATGAATGGCTCTTTTTCTATGTATGCTCCTGCGACTGTGACTGGCCGGCGACGAGTCGAGTGTGTCGCCCGCTCCTCGGCCAAAGAGAACTGGAATATGAGAACGGGCTCTCAACAAAATGGGTAGATGGATGATCATCATTTTTGTCTTGACTGTCAATTGATTTGGCGTCCTACGTTGCGACAACATCGAGTCCTTCAACCGGCATGCAGCGAATTAAAAAAATTAAATCAATCACTCACTCATTCTCAAAAACCATCATCTAGTTGGACAAGAGCTTACACAGTAGAGTGTAATTCAAATTTCCTCTTGGGGTGGGATTATAATCAGTTTAATAAAAGAAAAATTGAAAAGCGTACGGGCAAGAAAAGAGCTTTATTAAAAGCTTTGCGAAAAGGACTTGAGTCTTTTGGGGTGAAGGGCACCAGCTGGGTTCAAATGACTTCACAAGCTGCGGACGACTGGAGGGATTTCGAGAGATGGGCGCGCATGGCTGGGAAAGAAAGATGGGACACAAGCCAACCCAAATATTTATGAGATAGGAGAGACTTTTTGCTGGAGATAGCCAGGTGATAAAAGCGTCAAGGAAGAGAGAATTATCCATGTAGAAGCACAATTTAAAATAGACACGGGCCACAACATTAGGAACACCAACACGAACTAAGTCTTCTTTCTTTTTTTTTTCAATATGATCATTGGTGAGAAGTAAAAATACTTTTTCATGTGCATAGGTAGATTTTTCAGGTACTTTTACTCCTTACATTTGAAAAACAGATAAGAGATGGTTTGGTTTAATTCCTTCTGTGACCAGGCTTGTAACTTAAAACGCTCGGATTCTTCAACTCATATTTCCCCATTGAAATGAATGGAAATGCCATTAAATCGTTTCAGCCTCCCCAAAACACAACACAAATGTTTGGCATGGGTTTTTAATTCGAAAAATAACACTGTCGAATGTTGCACTCCATAAAATAAAATGCAGTAAGAATTTGTATGTCGGGTCATGCCCGTCTGAAGGTATCTGTATCTGTACTTTCACCTTCCTACTTTGTCAAAATAGGATCAGATTTTTTTTTTATTCCGCCTTTTTCCCCAAAGTCAGCTGGAACGGGCAAAAGCTTTTCTTGACCATGACTGAACAGAATTCTACAACCCTACACCATTTGCAAACTGCAGCAGCAATAATAAAATAAAAGTAACTTTTAAGACAGCATTTGGATCGGATGTCCTTCGACGTCCTCGAAGCGTACCTAAAGTTGTCACCGTTGGGTGCACTTTGACTAAATCAACGATTTTCATGCTTGAACTGACGCGTGAAATCTACATAAAGTCAGAGATAGGCGGGCAGAGCTTGTGTAAATCTCTTTAAACAGAAACGGTGACGCATCAGTGGCCTCGAGCGATTTAGAGACTTCCGAGTGTGTGGCGTGGCCAATGGGTACAAAAATGTAATCTTTCTAAATCTGCCCGTATCCCCGCCTGCCTCAACGTCCTGGCGGGTGCTCCGCGATGGAGCAGCTAACCCGGTTAATCGGTGCTCCCCCCAGAGGACGGCGAGATGAGAAAACAAACAGTAAGGCGACACGTTGGGCAGCGGCGCCCCGGAGTCATCTTACCACGGTCACCACCTCCAGGTCTTTGACGTACGTCCTCTCTGTGGTCAGCAGCTCTTTGGCGATGAAGTAGGCCTTGTCAGTGGGGAACCTCTGCCAAGGCATCAAACAAAAAGTATAAATGGAATGTAGCTCCAAAACTAGGCTACGCGTAAAAAAGTGTTTGAACCATCTTTGTATTCTGTAGTCC